TGTGTCTCTGTCTCTCTCTCTCTCTGTCTCTCTCTCTCTCTGTCTGTCTCTCTCTCTCTGTGTCTCTCTGTCTCTCTGTCTGTGTCTGTCTCTCTCTCTCTGTGTCTCTATCTCTCTCTGTCTCTGTCTCTCTCTCTCTCTCTGTGTCTCTGTCTCTCTCTGTCTCTGTCTCTCTCTCTCTGTGTGTCTCTCTCTCTCTGTGTCTCTGTCTCTCTCTCTCTCTCTGTGTCTCTGTCTCTCTCTGTCTCTGTCTCTCTCCGTGTGCAGCATCAGAACTTTGAGGAGCAGATGCAGGGCATGAAGATGCAGCTGATTCAGCTCAGTTCTCTGCTCAGACTGTTGGACTTGTCTTTCTGGAACTATCTCGGTATGAAACAGACGTTCTTCTCTGTCCATCTGTTCACAGTCTATGCTAAGCTAAGCTAGCTGTTGACCTTTAAAAGAAGCTTTGAGTTTGTGTTAAACATGAAGTCAGAAGCTGAAGAGTGATGATGTCACTGTGTGTGTTTCAGAGTCTCAGGACTCAGGTTACCTGTATTTCTGTTTCCGCTGGTTGTTGATCAGATTTAAGCGGGAGCTCAGTTTCCAGGATGTCCTGCGGCTGTGGGAGGTCAGTCAGGGTTCATGTTTGGTTGTTAAAACGTTGTTGGACGGGTGGTTACCTGGTGACCGACCTGCTGTCGTTCTCAGGTGATGTGGACGGGTCTGCCCTGTCACAACTTCCACCTGCTCGTCTGCTGCGCCATCCTGGACTCTGAGAAACAGAAGATCATGGAGGAGAAGTACGGCTTCAATGAAATCCTCAAGGTACACACTCACTGATCATGAATCCGACCTGTAGAGCTCAGATCAGAATCAAATTTATTATTTTTCATTGTCATATATATAAATCAACACAAATGCAGCGAGGTGTGTTGTCCAGCAGGGAGCAGCACAGATGTATCATGGCTCTACATCAGAACCTTCTGGTCCTACTGGTGCTGCGTTCACTTACACTTCAGCAGATGTTCCAGATGTTTGAGATGTTTGGAACATCTGGATAATTTGAGATAATCCAGATGTTCCAGCGGCTCTTTCTCTCCAACACTTTGACAGCAGAGAAACAAACAAACCTTTATGTTTTTTTTTCTTCCAGCACATTAACGAACTTTCAATGAAGCTGGACATTGAAGAGATTCTTCAGAAAGCCGAGGGCATCAGTCTGCAGATGAGGAGCTGTAAGGTACAGTCTCTGATCGATACATCCATCCAGAGGAAACTGTTCAACATCATCAGAAATCAAATCAGCTTCCTCTGAGCAGAATAACAACAGCCAGTTGTGATGCACATGATTATCATGTCTTTCTTGTGGAATATATAGAGTAGAGAAGATAGAACATACTGTTTCATAGAATGTGTTTTTCTGTTCCCGACAGCTTTACACCTGAGACGTGTCCTCATCGTTTAATTTGAAGTTTTCTTCCAACCAATCAGCTGCTGTCTGTCGTCCACAGGACTTACCCGACTTGGTCAGAAACATTCTGGGCTTTGAGGCGAACGTCAGTGGCTCTGACCCGACGGACTCTGCTCCTCCTCCCGCTGTGGTTTCCAGAGCAGCACAGCGACAGGACGTCTGCTCCGCCCTCCACACACACCTGAGAGAAACGAGCTCTCACAACAGCTGCAAAGTGGCCTTTATATCGTAGTTAAAAGCAGAGACTGACTCAGCATCAGCAGCGCCCCCTTCAGAATGTTCAAGGATTTAAAATGATTCAGAATCTTATTTTTCTACCATGTTCTATCTGATTGTCTCAAACAGTCGCTCAGTTATTCCTCCTGATGTTTATAAAAGCGGGGGGGTCACATTCACACCTCTTGTTGCTCTCACCTGTCTCAGGTGATGTCATCTCAAGATGTTTTTGATGAACATCGAGGAGTCACCTAAGATCAGACACGTGTGATCCGACCTCTGACCTCAACAGTTCCATCAAGAATCAAAGTATTTTTACTCAGTTTCACAGACAAAGATTTGACCAGTTTAATAAACTGTGGATCTTTATCAGCTGATCAGTGTTGATGTTGTGTCGTTGGATGCAAACAAATCTAATAGAAGAGAAACAATAGGTTTGATTTGTCGTGAAACTGCGGCTCAGAGACGTCGGCTGAGGAGGACGTCCTTCATGTGTCCCAGGACGGACTCAGGTTCACACTGATAACAGAACGTGGACACGTGGCTCAGACTCTGAATCTGAGAGCGTTCACACCTGAACTGAGAGCTGCCCACTAGTGATCAGATCACGTAAACCACATGTTAATACCAGGTGTGAACGAACGCTGTGCTGAACCGACCAATCAGACTTCTGTGTGTGATGTGAACTGAACCAGCTCATATATTTACTTACTTAAAGGAACACTGAGGCATTGTGGACATTTTTTTCTCTTACTGGGAGTGAAATCAGACGTCTTGTGTGTTCTCAGTACTAAAGGAACACACAGTGATGTGTGGTTACCATGGTAACATCTCAGTAACGTGACATTTCCAGTAAGAAAACTAATGTTTCCTAAAAGTGTCGCTTTAAGCCGGACGTCATGTCAGTCTGATGTGATGATGTCATGGTCTTTATTGAAACAAAGTGAAAATATAAAGTTTGTTTAATGATCAGAGTGTGAAACTGATAAGTCTTTGATTTGATCGTGACGGAGCTCTGCTTTGTTTTTCAGGTTTAAATTTGTGATTTCAGCTAGTTTCATGTAATGGATCGAAATCTGAGCAATAAAATGATTTCAAAATTTCAGGTATCAGACTTCTTTACCTGATCAATACATTTCTGTGATTAATGGATCATTGTATGAGAATCAGTTAAAGTTACCACTTTATTTTTACAGCTCATTTCCTGTCTGGGTCAGTATTTTCAAAATAAAAGCCTTAATCAGACTCAGAAAGCAGCTGACGACCAAACACTGAGACAAATAAGAGAACTTCATCACATGACGCATCATGTGACTGATGTGAGCATGAATAGTTGACAGCTGGTTGCTGAAAATATTAAAGGATCCAGAATGAAACCCTGAGGAACCTCAGAAGTAAGTACTGTCACTTTAACTGATTAAAACTTCATGAAACGTTAGTGATCAGTCAATTCTGTTTAGATTTAATCAATTCACTTGATGACATCATCAACAGCTGAACAGTCGAGGTCACACGTTTATATTTAACACACCCACCACGTGTCGCTGATCATATATAGATAAAGTTGGTTAAAAAAATATTTTCGTTTTTTTCTGCATGGATTCTTCACGTGTCCTCGACCTCAGGACATTTTCCAACGGGGTTAAAGAGATGTTTGATGTTTAAAAGGTGGTGTCCTCCTTCGTTTTCAAAAGGACAACGAAATATTCAAAGACATAGCGGGAGACATTCACTGAAAACAACCACAGGAAACAAAAACAGGAAACAACAAGAAGCAACAACGGGAAACTTACACAGGAATTAACCACAGGAAACAACGGGAGACAACCACAGTTTCTCCCTTCCTATGCACAAACACACACAGAAACCAAGACTAATGGTTTGTTAAACAAAATGTTTGTAAGCAGACCGATGATGGAACAGTCTGTTGCCATGACAATGAAGGTTCAGGTCGTACATGAAGGTCACCAAAGACGACCTGTGTGGTTGTAGCGTCATCAGCTTTCACCAACATCTGAAACATATTTATGATTCAGAAATGTCACAGCAGCCGAAGTGACTGTTCATCACGTTCCCTGAAATGTCACATCACCCCCCCCACCCCCACCCCAGCTTCTCTGATGTGTTCTTTGAAGGCGCCTGAGACGGACGCAGGTATCACCTGAAATCTGCTCATAAAGCTGCATCAGTCACAACAAAGCAGCTGCAGCTCCTGCTGCCGCCTCTCTGCTCTTTCATTTCCTGTGCTGCAGGAAATTGTCTCAGCACACGGCTGATAGCTCGCCGCCACTCGCCACTTATCATCCAACCATCTCTCAGGGTTTATTGAAGAGGAGGCGGCTTTGTGAGGACGGGGCCCTGATTGTCATTCACTCTGCTCCACCTGCTCAAACAGAGGAACCGAAGACGATGCCACAAAGATGACATCACGAATATGATGCCATGGAGAAGTATATGTACATATAGGTACATACATAATATCTATATAATATCTCATAATATCTGCCAGGCTGACGGAGTCACAGCTCCATCCAACCCAGTATTCCTCCTTCCCTACACAGCTACGTCTTTATGATCTTCTTCAACGATAGAATTCTAACTGTTAATAAAAATAATAATAAAATCTCCTGCCCTCGGTCGACACTAACACATAATCGCTCAACCTCAGAAACAGCTGAGAGTCTTCTAATTTATTTAGACAGCTTCTCTCTGATCACTCTTGATCAGCTGACCACAATTGTATCTTACGTAGAGTTTAAAGTTCTCCTCACCTGCTTGTCCCTCAAGTCTCTAAAAGTAGAGGAGGAGCCAGAGCTTTCAGCATCAAGCTCCTCTCTGTGGAATCATCTCAGGTTCAGTTCTGGAGGCAGACTCCCTCTCTACGTTTAAGATTCAAACTTCCTCCACGATGAAGGTTTAGTTAGAGCTGGTCCAGGTTTGTCTTAGACCTGCTCTAGTTCTGCTGCTGGAGGTCTAGAGGGTGGAGGACACAGGACACATGGAGCTTCTCTTTCCTCTTCATCACATTAATGTCTCATCAACACATGTTACTGACGTGACTTCTTCACCAGAGTCCTGCTGCTTCATCGTTTGTGGATCCTGGTGGTGGTGGCAGTTGGAAAGGTAAACAGTCCATCACCATACAGATGTTAATGTCTCCTATGGTTCTTCTGTAACTACCCTCTGCCTGCAGCAGGTTCTATGACACAGCTTCTTGATACACAACATGTCTCCTCATCTTCTACCATCAGTGACTCCTCAGTTCATGTGTCTGCTCCTTCATCTCTATCAGACATGTTCTCATGTACAAATACTTTAAATATGAAGTTAAACTGTTTCTTCTAATGTAGAGAATCTGTTTGTTCAATTCAGTTTTATATATAGAAATATCCTGAACCTTCATATTCCTCCTCCTGTTTCCTCCTCCCCCTGCAGTAGGAGGGTGAAGTCAGAGTTGTGAGGGAGGAGTCATCAGTCAGTATAAGAGGGGGTCTGTGTTGGTGTCAGGCTCAGTGTGGTGGTTGTCGTGGTGGTTATCGTGGTTGTCGTGGCAGCAGTCAGCCGTCAGTCTGGAGCCCTGGTACTCCTACACCCACTGGTTCCCCATGGCCTCGTCCCATGTGATGAAGGAGCCAGTTCCCAAGATGCAACCTGCCATGATGATGTTCTCCAGTAAGTACTGGACCAGGAGGGGGATGTCTCTGGACTCGGCCATGTTTGACCAGCAGCAGCTCCGACACACGGGGGGGCAGATGGTGAGAGGAGGCACTGCTGATCTTCATCAACTTCATCACCATCATCATCTTCTTCGTTATCATAATCATCTTCATCACCATCAAATACTTAATCTACATCATCATCTTCTTCTTCTTTATCATATTCATCTTCATCATAATCATCATCTTCATCTTCGTCAGTTCCTTGTTTGTATAAAAACATTTGACTCCTTGTTCCAGTCTCGTCGTCCGTCTTTCTGTCCAATCAACGAGAAGCCAGAGAAAGAGGGCGGAGACTCAGAGCAGACCACTGTGGTGTTCTCCCTGAAGAACGAGGTCGGATGTTTGGTCAGAGCTCTGAGACTCTTCCAGGTGAGATCCAGTGTTCAGTCCTTGTTGTCAGGTACATCACCATGGTAACATGCTGAAGAGCTGAGCTGATCAAACAGTATAGATGCTCCGCCCACTGACCAATCCCTCCTTTGAACTATGACATCATGTTCTTAGAGTCTCTGAGGAGGACCAGGGTTTTCAGAGACGCACAAGACTCCTCCTCCTCTGCTTCTCCTTCTCTTCTTCCTCCTCCTCCTCCTGCTGCTTTTCCTCCCCCTTCTCCTCTTCTTCCTTCTCCTGCTTCTCATCCTCCTCCTCTTCTTCCTCCTCCCACTGCTTCTCCTCCTCCTCCTGCCCCTCTCCCCTGCAGGAGAAGCGAGTGAACTTGCATCACATCGAGTCGAGGAGGTCTAAGCGAGCTAACGAGGTGGAGATCTTCGCTGACTGCAGCTGCAGTAAGAAAGAGTTTAACGAACTTGTGGATCTCCTCAAAGATCATGTCAACGTCATCTCCTTCAACACGGCTGCACACGTGTGGTCAACTGAAGCAGGTATGACCATGTGCACATCTCCCATCAGCCCCCTCTGCTGAAACAGGTTGGGATCATGTGTGATCAGTGTGCACGTTGTTCTCGTGGTTCAGCTTCTTTTTTCTGCTCATCACCGACTCTCCTTCATTCATCCCCCCCACCGGCTCAGAAGGCTGCGGTCCTCCAACTCAGGTTTCCTCTCCAGCTCCACCCTCCAGCTCCACCCATTCACTAACCCACTGTGTTACTGCTCCACCCTGATGTCTCATTCTATCCTGTTTGGTTGGAATTACTTTTCTTTTTCTTTACTTCTCTGTTCTGTCCTCACGGACACATGTGACGCGTCCTTGGGTCTCTTGAAATGTGCTATATAAATGCAAGCTATTATTAT